AGCAGTATCAGTGAAGTGGGTGGGCTGGGCGGGGCCTGGGGCAAGCTGCAGCTCCCCTGCCCTGACTGAAGGGGGCAGCAGGCCCTCATTTCTAGCTGATTGTTGCCTCAATAACCCTAGGCCCTGTGTGGCGAGACCTCAAATGCCAGAAACCTGTATTTTAAAGTGACATTTCCTAATTTTCAAGTGTTGGCTCATATTTTTAAAACATTGATGGGCCAAATAAAATATATTACAGACCATGTTTCAACCTGGTGGGTGCCTTTTTACAACCTCTGTTATGATGTTGTCAGAGGGCAGAACTTTGGGCAAATGGAAGAGAAAGGAGGTAGGCTGAGAATGCCATCATACAAACCCAGCAACGCCAGGGGCTGGGCACCTGTGGTCCCCTCTTCCCCCAACAAATGCATCAGGATTCCAAGACGCTGCCGTGGTTGGACACTGGCCTTAATTTTTTTTCACTTTCTCTTTCTTTTTGAGACTTTAAACAGCTCTATAATGCCCATAATCCTAATGACTGATTAAGTGGAGATAATGGTATTTGCTCTTGTAACCTCAGCAGCCTGTTATCAGGAGAAATGAGGGAATAAGTGAGAAACTGGTCTGCTAATGCCAACGGTGTGCAAACGTGGATGTTATGATGTGCTCCCAGGTGCTGGGGGACAGTCCTGATCCACAGGAGCAGTGGCTCTCAACCTTGGCTGCACATGAGAACCACCTGGGAATCTCTTTAAAATCCTGATTTCTGGGCCTCACTAGTAACAAAGAAACAGAATTTCCGGAGGATGAGGCCCAGAAATCAGGATTTTAAAAAGATTCCCAGGTGATTCTCATGTGCAGCCAAGGTTGAGAACCACTGCATTGGAGGGAGTGTCCGGCTCAGATGTGAACGGTTACACTGGCCTGGCTGCAGCTCGTCGTCTCTTACCAGCAGGTGGGATTTGCGGGGTGGCAGCCTGGCATGGTCGGACCCCTTTCCCCTCCTCTAACTTGTACAAGAGGAAGCCCAGTAAATGAACAAAGAAACCCAGGGGACCCCAGGGAGAGGGGAAGGCCACTGGAGGGTGAGGGAAGGAGCCGTCTGGAAGGAGATGTCCTGTGGTTGAGGTCTTTGCTGCTCTTCCTAAGGGCCCAGTGAGTAATCAGCAAGAGGGCTTAGTGGCAGGCTAAGAGCTACGTGACAGCAAAAAGAGACAGAATAATCAGGGAATGCGTGAGGTGATAACCGCGTGACAGAGGGGACACAGTGAGCATGGGCTCTGCCTCGGGAAGATGTCTGATTGGGGCAGATAAGCTGGCCCCCAGAAGAGAGTCAACGACTTCAGCAGTTTGTCATGACTCAGTGTCACTTATCTGAGGCCCAGGCTGCAGTGAGGTGGTGGGAAGGATGGACAGAGCACCGGCTGGGCATCAGAACTGGGTTTGAGTCCCAGCTCCAAATTCTACCACAACCTGACCCTGGGCAAGATGGCCCACCGGCTGTGCCTCAGGTTCTGCGTCTGTAAGGAAGAGTCTTGTTCTAGATCTGGATGGACGCCGAGTTTGCCCGGTGGCGGCGGTCCTAAGTCTGGGGTGAGTAGTCCCTGTCGGGGAAGGCTTTATGGGGAGGGTGGGGGGGCAGGCACTTGACCAGATGGAGGAGGGTGGAGAAGGCAGGGCAAGCAAGGAAATGTGAGCAGGGGCTCAAATGGAATGGACGTGGTGGAGTCTGAGGACAGCGGGAAGGGGCTTTGCTATGACCGCGGGTGCAGGAAGAGATAAGTGGGGGAGAGTGGAGTCAGATTACAGACGGCCTCGGACACAAGGCAGAGATGTCTAAAGCTCCATCCGGAAGGAGGGGTCATTCTGGGGCAGGATTAGGATGTGATTAGGCTGCTTTTTAGCAGGAAAAACGGGGCCTAGACCTCAGAATGACTTGGATGGAGGGAAGCCAGGAATCAGGGAGGCAGCTAGAAGACTCCTGTGATATTTCTGGCATAGGACGGTGAAGTGGGGGGTGAAGGTGGGGTTGGAAGGAGGCAGTGGGTCAGGCCTAGAAATGTTGGGAAATACTGATAGGCCCTGGTAGGCCTTGAGGCCTGGCTGCATTCGCGTGGTGGGGAGGAGTGAGTCACCTTGAGTAGTTTCTCACTCAAAGACCAGGGAAGAGCCTGACTGGCGTGGCTCAGTGGGTGAGCATCGACCTGTGAACCAGGAGGTTATGGTTCGATTCCCGGTCAGGGCACATGCCCAAGTTGCAGGCTCGATCCCCAGTGGGGGTATGCAAGAGACAGCCAATCAACGATTCTCTCTCATCATTGATGTTTCTATCTCTCTCTCCCTCCCCCTTCCTCTCTGAAATCAATAAATAATAATAATAATGACAACAACCGGGAAGAGAAAGCACTGGCAGCCTCTCTGCCTGCAAACATTACGTGTCAGGGCCACTGCGAGGGTCAGCTTCAGCCTGGCCCCGCTCAGAGGCCTCAGCTGTACTGGGGGCGCCTTGGTGGTGCGAGCAGGGGCTGGGTTAAAGGGTGTGCATGCTCTGGATCACTGGGCTCATTCCATTTTGAGTGCTAGGCTCTATGCAAGGTTTGGGAGCAGCGTGTTTACATAGGAACGTCCAAACTGATAGAAAATTTGAATAAGAGTTTATTTGAGCAAACTGGCGACATATGCCAGGAGCAAGATCTAAAATGCTCCTGGAGAAAGCGGTTTTGAGCTTCCTTTATGCATTTAAAATGGAGAGAGTTGGAAAAAGCAAGGAAGGGGTTGGCCTGGAGGATAGTTAAGATTATGTGCTCTCGCCCTAGCCAGTTTGGCTCAGTGTAGAGCACTGGCCTGTGGACTCAAAGGTCCTGGGTTTGATTCTGGTCAAGGGCACATGCCTGGGTTGCCAGCTCAATCCCTAGTAGGAGGTGTGCAGGAGGCAGCCAATCCATGATTCTCTCTCATCATTGATGTTTCTATCTCTCCCTTCCTCTCTGATATCAATAAAAATATATTTTTTTAAAAATCTTAAAAAAAGATTATGTGCTCTCTTGAGGGGTTAATATTTCTTTGGAGGGATATTCTTCCGGTATTTTAAAGGTGTGCTAACCTAGATGCACAAGAACAATGGACAGAGCTGGCTTAAAACATCTTACTAAAGAAGTTATAGGCCTGGTGTGACTACCCACCGTGAGCAGCCCTGTTAGAAATTTGTGATCCGACCACCCTGTGGGGTTACTTCCCATAGAACCCCTTCTGTGTCCACAAGAGCTATTAACAGCACAGTTCTCAGTCCTCAAGGAACAACCAGCCTGTGAGTCTGGCAGAATCATATTTGCTGGACTCAAATGGCACTCAAGAACATCCCGATTGTTCCCAGCCACCCAATTTTGCTTTCTGGCCATGTAGATAGTGGTTTTTTGTTATTTTTAAAAATGGTCTTTTATTTTATTAATCCTCATGGGAGGGTATTTTTTCCATTGATTTTTAGAGAGAGCAGAAGGTTCTCCATTGAGCCTATACTCTGCTTTCCATAGCAAGTAAATATGCAACCCTACTTTGCACATAAAATGTCTGACTTCTTGGCTGTTGGAGATTTGTACCTCAGAATATAAATGTACATCAGTTTTTATATTTGTGAATTCATCTGTGGGAGGGGTAAAGAAAATTCAAGAGTATTTAATTATTAGTGTGGTTTTCCTTTCATTCTATAAAGATTTGAAAATATATTTTTATATAGAGAGAGCGGGAGGGAGAGAGATACATGGATGTGAAAGAGACACATGAATTGGTTGCCTCCCCCGCCGCCCCCCAACTGAACCTGCAATCCAGATACATACCCTTGATCAGAATCAAACCCAAGACCCTTCAATGCACAGGCCGATGCTCTAACCACTGAGACACAGTGACCAGGGTGGTAGTGTGTTTGGTGGATGCCAGAAAACCTCTGTGTTCCTGGTTTATAATGATACTATCAAGGGGGTAAGTCCAGGTTTTGTGGAACTTAAAGCTTAAATCATTTCAGGGAGCCTCTTTGGAAAATAATTCAAAATTACAAACATTAAATTGCTAGGTGCTCTCAGGGACTAGACTGGGGGAATTCAAGTGAGAAGTCCAAGGTTTAAACCTCATCAGCTCCCCAATCTTATGATAATACCTACTATTTATTAAGCATATATTATAAGTGGGTGTTTAATTTGTGGTATTCCACGACCAAGGGGGAGGGTGGGCATTAGTGTCTCCATTTTATGGATGAGGATGCAGGCTCAGAGAGGTGACTCAGGATGTCAGTCATTAGGCTAGGGGGTGGGGGCTGTGCCCTGGACTGAGGGATCTGGCCTCACGGGCCTCCTCTGAGGTCCTCTTCAGCCCGCGATGGCAGAGGTCAGGCGCCTAAGGTTCCCGAGGAGGGCTGTCCTAGATCTAAGCCATCTCCCGATCCCCACGTCACCTTTCCTAGGCTTGGCCAGGGGCCCTCAGGGTCCAAGCTGGGGTAGAGGTAGGGGATGCCGTCTAGCCACCGCTAGCCATCTAGGGGCACCACATGGTGCAGCCTTGGTCCCAGGATGGTGGCCTAGTTAGGCGGAGAGCTACGTACAACCGGGAGGGCTGCAAATCCCAAGGGTGAGCACCGGTCTGAAAACAGACCCGAGGTCTACGCCTGGATCTGCAACTTCCCGCTTGTGTCAAGTCCCACAGGAGACATGGCCTCCCTGAGCCTCACATTTCTAATCTGCTGAATCAGGGTAATATTTGAGCTCATTACATGTCACCTCCTAACGCAGCGAAGATCCTGGTGGGGTCTGGCACACGGGAGGAATTTACCTAAGCATGGGAAGATGGCTATCCGTTCTAGCAGCGGCATAAATGCCAGATTCCGCACCTCCCCGCCCCCGTTTGAAGCTGGCTAACTTCCTCTGGGGAAGTAAAGGTGGCAGCTAGGTGGGGAGCCTAGAATCCCCGCCCCGCGAAAGAGCCAGGGAGCCTAAGAGGAAGTGGAGGCGGGGCGGCTGGGGTCAGGCCGGGACCTGCGGCCCAAGTCCCGCCCAGCAGGCGTGCACCCTCGGGGACAGAACCGGTGAT